CCGCCTCGTCCCGTGTCGCTTGATGGTCCGTCATTTGGGTCACTCTGGCCGGACTTCTTCAGCCGACCGTTGCAACGACCACTTTTTCTGTCCGCCCTTTATTCAACGGCCCCCGCCATACCACGAGATGTGTGCATTCAAGTGTGCGCAAGTGTCTCTCTTGTCGGCTTGTCCTCGCTGTGGTTGCGCCTGTGCACAATTCATCTGTCCACAAATTTCCCCTTTGATCATTGTCTGCATGCATGTGTGTGCAGGAGTGTGTGTGTGTGTGTGTGTGTGTATGAGTGTTTGTGTTTGTGTGTATGTGTGTGTGATGTGAAATGGTGTAGACCTATACTTGTCTGTAGGATCATATCCCACAGATGACCACTTGCACGTTTCAATGGAGCCCAAATGTTGTTTCCATCAGTATCATCAACATCGTTGTGATTAGTATTGTTGCCAGTGGCAGCAACAACAAAGAGTCGTGTTGTTACGGGAAAATGCAACTGTCCCTCGTGAACCATCTTATGCAAGCTTGGTCGACCGTTCAAAATGTACCGACAGCACCAAAGCCTGCGAGGATAAGTAGTATGAGTGAATGTGATAGAAAAAGTCACGTTTGCCTCAGTGACAATCGCACCATAAAAGGGATATGGCAGCGACTTTTGTGTAACTTACATGCTCAACATGTCGGGATGACACGAGATCCGGCTTCGAGTCCCTCTGAAGCTGCTGGCGAGATGAGTTGAGGAGAGGTCGAAACCTCCGTCCAGTCCAGTCCAGTTTAGTCCGGATGAGAATTCGTTTTGGAAGACAAGGCTTGACGAATATATGAAAACCAAGATGTTGTGGCCTCTGGTATGGTCGCAGTCTCCTTTCAATGTCCAGAAGTGGGTTGACCTCGTTGTCGCAACTTGGTCTTGTCGTCAGGGCGACTTAGTAGAACGCATCTAGTCCTAAGTCGTCTGCCACTTTAGTTGTCATGATTTTCAGCATCAGACAGTGGACTTAGTACATTCTCAAACGAAAAATCTCTTTAACGAGTTCGTGGGTTGGTGCGGAGAATGGCTAAACTGACTGATGATGCCGACTACGATGCCGGCGAAGCGTCTGAGAATGTACCAAGTCGACTGTCTGATGCTGGGAATCATGACAACTACTATGGCAGACGACTTCGGACTAGGTGCGTTCTATATGGTCACCCTGACAACAAGACCAAGTTGCGACAACGAGGTCAACCCACTTCTATACATTGAAAGAAGACTGCGACCATACTAGAGGCCACAACATCTTGGTATTCATATCTTAATGATAATAATACTGATAATAGTAATAATAATAATAAAAATAGTGAGAAGAAGAATCGCAATAATAACCGTAGTAATCATCATAATAACGAAATTAATAATAATAATAATACGCGTTTGGTGTGGATTTTTCAACCTTCTTCTCTAGGAGACTTCTATAAATCGAAAGGAGACTGCAAACATACCAGAGACCACAACATCTTGGTATTCATATCTTAATGATAATTATACTGATAATAGTAATAATAATAATAATAATAATAATAATAATAATAATAATAACAATAATAATAATAATAATAATAATAAT